GAATAAAAAAAGAACACATGTAAGGATAAACATGAACATATTGGCTCTAAAATGACGGAAAAAGATTATTTCTGTTCGTATTACGTCATTATAACTCACGCATTTGTCGTGAAGAGGTCTTTTTTTTTTTTTTTTTTTTACCTCGCCACTGGGACAATATCAGTTCATCCTATCAAACTAAACCCCGAGACCTCTATCTCCTCACAAGCTGCTAAAACCATGTTCAGCAACGTAATCACTTGTTTTTCCTCTGCTTGCCCTTTTTTCACCAGTGAATCAGGCCTTTTGTGGATTAGAGGCCACAACACAGAGGTAATAGAATACATACAATATGATTCAAAAGGGTGGGTGAAAAAAAAAATCAGAGATTAAGGGATTGGTGGGGGGGTGACTTAATTTGAGCTAAAGCTGAACTCTTGTGTGTACCGGGATTAGGAGCATTTCAGCACACAATAAGACTGATCTGGGGTCAGCTGGCAAAGAGATACAAAGGAGGATCAGAGAGGAAGAAAAAGTTCGGACTTACCTGTGGATCATCACCGACAGCAGCACATAGGAGAAAAGAGAAAAATGATTAGAAGCAGTTTAGAAGTGTATAACACTTGTTATAGATATGCTTTTTTTAATGAATGCTTCGCGTGTTTCTATGTACAGCACTGGTGTGTTTAGCCCTGGGCTGTGGGCCACATCACCAGATTTCTGTGTCTGTCTTTTAATGAGGCCTTCCTGGTTTATACATCTCCTCTCCCTACAGCAAATTATCATCTGCTAATCTGGATTTACACAACGACTACACGGTAATGATGAGTGTGTTTCTGTGTGTGCCTGTATAAAACCCTCCAAAAAAAAAAAGACAGTTATGCAAGAGTTTGGTCTGTGAAGCCTCTCAAAAATTTCACCAAGCATCCCACAAAGAGAAATGTGTCCTCAAATACCCTTTTCTTAAAGCCTGCCTTAATAAACACATCTTCAATAATGTGGAACCTAATTCTGGTTCTGCCACAGCTGTGGCGTGCCAAGGTATGGTTAATATTTAGGTCACTGTGCTCCTGCTCCAAATATGTGACACAGTGACACACTGTAGATACCAAAAACTACATCACACGTAAAACTCTGCTGAAGACTAATCCCCAAATCTCCAAACTTCCATGTTAACACGGTGCAGGCACACTTGCCAAAGGAAAACATCTGGATAAACAAGAAGACATTGAGTGCACCTTCATCTGGTGGCTTGATGATCTATAAATAACAACCAATAAGGAGTACAGTTAACAACTGAGACCTAGATTCCACTGTCTGATGGGGTCCCACCAGCTGCAGGTTGGTTCCTTATTCGAAATGTTGCCTTTTATGCTTTTCTATGACAGTAAATTAAATATCTAAATTTTGCGATGCTTCTCTGACATGGGTGCTTCCAAGTGCCCCTTATCAAAAAGGGAAAAAACCAACAAAAAAACCCAAAACAAATGGTGGTAAAACAGCTCACACACAGAATAGGAAAGCTCCTGGAAAACATTTAACTATCCCTTTATAAAGTTTAATTGGCATTGTGATATTTTGTGACGTTTTGGAGATCAGGGGTCAGACTGATTTTGCAGTTGCTCCAAATCCACAGTTTGTTTTTTGCAAGATGGTTTGTTGGAACTTAAAATGACACTGTCTGGTACGGAGCTAATAAATCAAACAATGACATTATATGGAAAAAAAAAAACAGTTAGATAATAAATACAGCGGTCGTATGCAGCCTAGAATTGGGACACAGCATAAGCCGTTGGATCCTTACTGGATCCTTCAGCACACATCAGGTGCCAGCTACAGGAGGAAATTTATTGAATGAACTGATTGTTTTTGTTTTACTTTTATTCCCTTAGAATTCTTGGTAATGATATATTTATTTACATTTGTTTAAATTAATTTGATATACAAAAGAACTGGGACCCTATCACCTGTATTTCAATTCCTAAAACAGGAAGGAATAGCTGTTACAAAATATAGCTATATGTTACACTTGCTCAAAGTTTTTTTAAGAATCTTAATAAAGTTAATAAATGTCAAATTGAGCCACACCAGGAGCACTTTTGCCATTTTCTGCCTTGTTTTTGTTTTGTTTTTTTACTGAAACCTGCAGGTTTTTGGTAACATGCTTTTTGGGCCACATTTCCTCTCATTTAGTGGGTGTGTTGGAGGTTTTAACCAATCAGCAGTGATCTGTATATAACCCATAACTATAAAGGCATTGCAGACAATGAATAGGCTGGGTGTCTGACGAGTCACCATTTCCGTCTGGGAAAAAAAAAAAATATATATATATATATATATATATATATCAAACCAATAAATAAAACAACTTTTGCAACGTTTTGTCGGGGCTGCAACTGGCCCAGGAAGCACTCACTCACTCACACACCCGTTACCTCAACAACCGAGGCAAACACCCAACCAGCCGAGCTGGAGGCTACATCAAAATTGTAGGTTTTGCATCCCCAGGCACTCATTTTCGGGCTATATTTACACAGAGGCACAGTGCGTGGCTGCCCATATGCCTTGTAATGGGTCTTGGCAGGCGTGTGGAAGCAAGATCCAGATGTTAAAAATACTTAAGGTTCAAACTGGAGACTTATTCCCGAGACATTTCCTCTGTGTGCAGTGTGCATCTGTACACTACGTATATGTGTGTGTGTGTGTGTGTGTGTGTGTGTGTTATATTGACCTGTCTATGACACTCTCTCTGGCCTGGAATTAGCTATAAAAAGATACAGTCTGTCTACAACAGAGAGAAAGAGAGAAAGACTGAAAGAAAGAGGCTGTAAAAAGAAACAGCAGGAGAAAGAGCATTAGCTTGTGAAAAACAAAAGTCTAATGCAATAAGTCTGATCGGTTCCTGTCTTGTTATTGTTTAAAATCACTTATTCACACTTGAATGCATCATCTCCATCTCCAAGCTTTGTAGTTGGAAAATATATCCCTTGGTAAATAAATTAGTCCCCCCTTTTTTTTCTGAATATTTAATGGGAAAATGATTTGTTTCTTTAAAATGTGAGTGAAAATTTTAGATTTAAGATTTTGTAATTATTCCAAGAAAGGACTGAAAGAGATCTGTGAAGAAATCATGACAGCAAAGAGCTTTCCTGTCGCCAGCGTGAGGGGCAACCACGGATGAGATAGGCAGACAGCAAATAAGGTAGGATGATCTTCTTACGTAAGACAGATCAAACAGTGGAATCACATGCGGTGTAGTACATTCAGATAAAGATTTGGCTTGAATACAAAGACATTTTCTGCCACTGAACCACATGCGGGCAATAAAAGGGCGCGTGCTTGGTTTGCAGATATAAAATCCATAAAGGTTTAGGCTGCACCACAGCGCTGCAACGCTTATCTCTAGAGTTAAAGGACACAAATAATATTATATGTAATCTCAAGTTCAAGATTATAACCAGAAAAAAAAAATCCTTCAGTTAAAACTAAAAACAAAACACTACATACCAATACAGTTACCATATAAACTTTGACCGGCTTCTGCTTTAACCTTTTAACTATGAGAAAAATGTCAGGCCCTTCAGCTATGTGCGTCTCTGAGCTGTTTTAGGAAGGGGCAGGTTCAGAGGTGGTAGAGTGAGAAGGAAGGAAGGGCTGAAACTTGCAAAAACTTGACAAGAGCAGCAACAAGCTCACTTTTCTGGAGCAACAAAATGTCATCATATACTGTCAGGTGACACTACTCCAGCCCTGACCACCAATAGGGACACAGATTCAAAATATGTTCTTAGCATCGACAGCAGACTGAGGCTACATGTGGCGCCTATGCTGCTAAATCATTGTTATTGCTCCATGTAAGTCTCCATGCTATTGTGACAATCTTACCCCAGGAAGCTTTGCACCGATTTGTTGGCCACATTAAGTTAAAGAAAGTTCCGATTTGGAAGCAACCAGTCGTCATGTTGCTGAACTGCTTTAAAAATAAAACGCAGAGCCAGGCAGAGAGACAACACATGTAATTTGCCTATTGAAACTGATAACAACTTGTTATGTTACCATTAGTGTAATAGCGAGTGAAACATGGGCAGATACTGATCCTGAATGTCTGAAACTTAGGCTACAATATCTGCTTTTTATTTGGTTTGTATTTTTGTCCCACCTGCCTCACCAAAATCTTTGTGTCCAAGCATGTATGCATGTATAACCTATCCCGCTCCAAGTGTATCTAAAGTATTGGCAATAATTTTAATGTTAATGTACAGTGTGAGTGAAACTACCAATGGCAGCAAGTGTGAGAGTTAATGCGACTACCACTGGGTGTCTTTTTCCATTCTCAGGTAAAGGTTAGGCTACAGTTACAACCACTCTCCCTAAAGTCTAACTGACACCTCTGACCGAGTATGCACAGATGCATGTACCCCGGCACACAACTAATGAACCAATCAATAAATAATGAGAAACTGGAAACTTAATACCCCTAAAATACTGCCAGGTTTAAATTTCATTCTTACCTCAGACAGAAAGATGTCCAATATTAAAATTCTAAACTAAAGAGCTAAAAGAAACTATTATTTAGTTTCTTGGTCTCACTGATGAGCTATCCAGGTCTAGACAAACACAAACACGCCCTCTCCCTGGCACCAAATCCTACACTCACATTGGTACCAGCCTGTGACATCACCGCGCTGATGTATCGTTGCTGACTTATCACACAGGGACAAAGTGCCCTTTGACCAGCCACAAGTCCTGCTGACCACAAACACACACATCCAACTTAGTCTCTAAGGGAACCAGGAAGTGTGAGGGTTGTGGAGATTGAGAATAGGGTGCCATAAGAAAGAGAATGAAACAGTACTCGTTTTGCTTGTGCGTGTAAACACCGTCTCTCTAACTGAGCTCGAGAACAAAGAACCATTCTAACAAGCTCAAAGAGACGTAGCCAACACATATGGTTAAGTAGGTGTGTGTCCAGTATAAAAATAAAATAATCACTGCTTTTCTTTTTGTTTCCCCACTCTCACCTATTTTGTGTTGAGGCCGGTACACCCAGTTATCGTCGTCCTCACGCTCGTCTCCGTCTGAGGTGTGAAGGTGACTGTGAGACTGAGAGTACGGGTGGCGGCTGTGAACCACGTTGAGCTCGTTTTGGCTCTGGAAGACGCGTCTGCTCTGGCGGGAGAGGTTGGACACGTTGAGCCAGCTGAGAGCCCGGGAAAGGCCCGCCGGTTTCTCCTTTCGGAATGATGCGGATCTCCTGTCTCCTCTCATTGTCCCTCAGAGAGGTCTTCTTTAAAACTGAGCAAAAAAATAAATAAATCCCCAGCCGTAAATCTTTAGGTCGGTGGGTTGTCCAGATATTCACACTTACTAAACTGTTTCAGACTCTTCAGATTCAACAATAAGCACTGAATTAGTTCCAGCAGGACATTCAGCCATATCCCGCTTTGCTTTCCATTTGCTTAGCGCACTTCCACATCATGACTCTGACCCACACAGCCTCCTCCTTCACTTCATCTCTCTGCCGCAAAAACTTAAATCATCTTCTCCTTTCTTGTCCTCCTTTGTGCCTTAAAACTCCAGGCGTGATTCCCAAACCCAAAGGGGTAATTAAGCAATCCAGCAATCAGGAAAATCACCGCCCTTCCGCGGCGCACACTTCTCTGTGCACAGTCCCCTTTTTCTGTTATGTTCCTCAGTGGTGCATGACAGGGTGGAGAGAGGTTTCCAAATTACCCTACGGTTCTTTTCAGTCTCAGCAAATCAGCGGTTGTTGTTCACGACCATGTGTGCCCCTGAGTGTTGTTATCTCCAGTTGTTAGCACGCGCCAGCTGAGTCGCACCATCTTAGAGCCAGGGCCTGACCAAGGGGTTAAGAGGTTCCCGGGTTTGTTGCTGTCCTGATGAAGTTACTTGCATGCTCACGCGCTGGCATAGGCACACTCACATGTGACACTCCCTTTGCTGGGTGTGCAGCAGAAATGAGGATGCCTGTCGAGTTTTTCCAGAGAATTTACAACCAACTTCTTGCGAATCCTCATTCGTTTTCCTCTCAGTCCTGTTTTGATCCCTTTTCCGCAAATATTACCGTCACTAGTGGTTGAGGAAAAGGCGTGCTAAGCAAAGGCTGTGATAAAAGGTCCCAGTGTTGACCAAGCTCTGGCTCTCCAATCAGCTGATCTACACCAGTGATAAAGCAAGAATTGGGAAGGCAAGCCCACACCTGCTTATCGCACCCAGGTGAGTTAAAAAGAAAGGGTATGCTGGTGAGGATTGCCCAGACTCCGCTCTTCAGGACTCCTGAAGTCCTGCAAGTGCGTGACTACTAGAGTTGACACAACTAGAGTTGTGCTGTGAGTATAGGGTTAAGGTTACACCCAACCCTTCACACATGAAGCTGAAATACGAGTCAGCCCGTCCCTTCTTCCTTATTCCCTGCCTCTCTTCTTTCTGTTTTCTGCGCTCCCTGATCGCTGCTCCGCCCCGCCATTCATTTACTGGCATGGCAACCACTCATCACACCCTCCTTATGTCCTTTCCTACCTCCTAAACACCTTTTTTCCACCCCACATACGCTTCTATTTACATTCCCTGTTATCAATATCCCACAGGTTCTTTCATTTTGAACACAAAACAGCTTTAACCCCAGCCTCAGCAGTACTAACCCTTAACTACTGTTGGGAAACATGCAGTGTGTGAGGAACACAAAGGCCCTCAGGGATAAAAACATGTATGTAGGGGGGGGTGGAGCCTTCCCACCTGAGTGTAAAAGCATAGGGAGCACAATACCACTAAGGTGTGACAAAAAACTGAATGAGTGAGTACACAAACACACGTAGGCCTGGCTGAGAAACCTCATCAACCATTCTCACCTTCTTGTTTACCCCAGAAAAGGTGGTAAATTAGAGGATCGTCAGATCGTCAAGACAAAGATCTGGCACCGTAAGGTTTTTTTTTATGGCTCCATTACGCTACTGAAAGACAATTCCAGATCTGTGACTGCGATGTGGTGCAAGCTTAGACTTAAACCCTTATTGCTCTCTCAGGTCCCCGACCTCATTTGAGGTTCCCCTTAGAGAGAAAATCTACTACGTCGGCACTTGTTTGTGCACAAAGCCCAAAGCTCATTTCCAAGCCTAGCTTGGAATATACAAATATAGGCAATCAAGTACACACTACAGATATATTTTTGAAGACCTTCGGTCACAGTGGTGAGACATAAAGCCATAAACCCTTTAATATTTAACCAGCATTACTCTACTGTGCAGCAGCGATCAATAAGACGTCAATAAAGTGGGACAACAAAGTAGGTTTTATTACAACAGAGGGAATGATGTAGGGGGATAAGGACATAACTAATAGTTAACCTGGTGCTTTGTGACCTTGACCTGTAAAACAGCAGCAAATTATAATCACTCAATCCTTGAGTTGAAGTAAAAGTTTCAGCCCGACGTGTAAAAAGATTTTTTCTTTCCTTCCTGGACCACATCAGTCCAGCTCTGAGGTTCTTACACTGGCTGCCTGTCCGTCAGAGGATAGACTTTAAAGTTCTGATGCTGGCCTATAAAGCTCTGAATGGTTTAGGACCAAAATACATCAATGACCTCCTGACCCAGTATGAACCATCCAGATCCCTCAGGTCATCTGGATCCGGTCTTTTATCAGTTCCCAGAGTCAGAACCAGACACGGAGAAGCTGCATTCAGCTTTTATGCTCCTTATATCTGGAACAAACTCCCAGAAAGCCTCAGATCAGCTGAAACACTCAGTTTATTTAAATCCAGGTTGAAGACTCACCTATTCTCAGCTGCATTTGAATAAAGCACCAAATCCACACTTTAAGCTTAAATTTCAAAACTTACATTTAACTACTGATTTTATCTACTGTTCTGATTTTATCTGTTTTGATTTTATATACTGTTTTGTTTGTTTGTTTGTTTGTTTGTTTGTTAATTAGTTAGTTAGTTTATTTGCTTGTTTTAATCAATTTTAAATCGTGCTTTTTATTTGTTCTTGTTTCTAATGTCTCTGTAAAGCACTTTGAATCACCTTGTTGTTGAATTGTGCTATACAAATAAACTTGCCTTGCCTTGCCTTCCCTAAGAAATCACAAGAAAAGAAACCAACGTGTGGTCACAGCAAGTGAACATTTCACCACCAAAATCTAAACTTTGGTGGCAAATTTGAAGGAATTTCTTTAAGGTTGTCAAGAGACATTACAGTCACAAGAACACGATTAATGGACAACTCAAACACAGAGCATCTGGCTGCATTCAGGATTAATTTATTTTCTTTTTTGAGGAAGTGAAGCTTAATAACATGACCCATAAATGGAGTCAAAATTTCATCACAGGTCACCGTTGTGATTCAAACCCCCCCCTCATTTATATTTAATGAAGTGCACATGAAGGAGATAAAGCACTGACAATAATCAGTATATTAAACTGCAGATTATAGACAAGTGGACATTCAGCATCTTCAGCTTGGTGGCGTGTCACCAAAAGAAGAGCGTAAACATCTCTGACTGCGTAGAAGCAGAAGCACAGCTTTCACGTGTCTAATCCATTAAAACCTTGATAATGTACACAATTAAATTTGAATAGAGTGACATAGAGAAGATGTTTTTTCCAGCTATGATCAAGGTTATTATAGTTAACTAAAACTGGATGTGAAAACATATTTTGCTTAACTATAAATCAAATACAGACCATTTTCTTCCCTGTTGTTGGCATTAAATACAAAACACATTTTAAGCAGGCTTTAATCTTTCATCAGAGACATTAAAGGCTCCAAAAAGAGTGTCACGTTACCTCAGAATGTAAACACGATTATACCATCAGAGCCGTGTGTCAGTGATTAGCTTTGAAAACGATGCAGACTCTAAACACACTGGTGTTTAAACAGGAAACCATGGGTCACTAATGTCATGTTGGGACACTCCTATCAGACAAGAGGAAAAGCAAACAAAAATCCAGACAGTGAAGAAGTACAGGGCAATTAAGGCTAAATTACTCTAAATCTTATCAGAGTATTGACTGGATTCACACATTCCTGCATCAAAAAGACAAGCGGTACAGTTAGAGCTGACCAGGTGGGAAAAGGAACAAAAAGAAAGAGACTGAATGGATATAACTATGTACTCTGATAAGATTTTAAATGTATAGATTTTAAATATAAACACACGCTGCCACTGCTTGTGTCCCACAGACATAAAGCTGGGACATGAGGGCCAACCTGTTTGTCAGGTAACCCAATCACACATTAGTGCCTGGGTATACCTGACATTGATACACACTCACCAAACAAAAGGTAAATACAGCAGATAAAGAAGCCGAGCTGGAAAAAAGTAGCATTTAGCGCATCCAGCAGTGCACAACTATCTTATAAAAGCCTCACTCAGTGTTTCTGCCAAGTTTCAAATCCCAGTATGTGCAGTTTCACAGTGTGTGCTTCTCAGCGGTAACACATTCACACAGGCAGTTAAACACAGGGGTTCAGCTCCACCACAGAGGAAGGCTTTTATTACACCAGAGCACCCCACATTTACTGGGACAGTTGGTGCCTTTGCGCATGTGTGTGTTTGTTTGTAAAAGACCACTTTTGGGCAACAAATTCTAAACTGTACGGTTTGACACCAGCTGATTAAAGTCGTATTTCTGGAAGGCATTTGTTTCCCCAATTTGGTTCGACTGCAGTCACATTCAGTGTTTAGGAAATCTGCTTTACATTATGGTACATCCACAGGACGGTAATGTAAGTAAAGGAAAGCATGCTTGACTTCTATGTGCATGCGTGTGTTATATACTGTATGTTCTATATAAAGTTCCTCCTGGAGGTGTTGGAATCTTGCACACACAAGTGTCAGATTTACACCTGATGAAACTCAATTACAGCAAGAATATATTTACACCTGCAACTTACAGGAAGATCCGCCCACTTTTCAAAAATTTCTACCTAAAGAGACGTCATTACTTATCTGTTGATTGTCTTCTTTGTAAACAGGTGTTATTACATCATTTTGGATTTACACAATAATACTGTTAAGAGTTATGGGAGGTTGAAAGGCTGGTGTGTGAGAAAGACATTAATCATAAACGTTGGCCACCCCGATACGACACCTACGCAACACCTACACAGATAAGTCATACTCAATGTTCGTGCTTTGCTCCTTCTGGCAAAAACTGCATATTAAGAAATCACGACTGATAAAGGCAACCACAAACAAACCGCAGGCACACAGGGAACACGGGACAGGGAGTAAAGTGATTAACTCATGTGATAATAGACTACTAGGGAAGGAAAATGTGAGTCACACAGTATAAAGTGTCCTCTCAGGTTAGCTGCTGAGCAACTTCAGACCTCCAGGGGGAGAGGTAGGCCAGGCCTGGACGCCCAGCAGCAGCCCACCACTAGAGGGCTGCTGCTGGGCTTCCAGACCTGGCCCAGGCCTAGCAACAGCCCTCTAGTGGTGGGCTGCTGGACCTCTGGAGCATTGAAGTCCACTACCATGCTTTTTTTGTTGTTGTTTCATATAATCTGCATCACAATATTCATCAGTTTCCATGAAATATGGTGCAGTTTTTTGTTTTCTTTTTTAAGATTAAGTAGTTGATTCCTTCAGAATGAACTGGCTTAAATCATTTGGAAAATAATTTTTTTGATTTTTTTGATGAAAAACGACAAACATCGTGTGTGCTTTCGGTGGGAATCCAGTTACTTTGTGCTAAATAACAGTAGGTTTCGCTCTGGAGAGGATGGAGGAAAAAGGATTTTTTGAGACATCATTTTTGGATCTTCTAGCAGATAAAAATAATCATCTATTATCTGAGAAAAGAGGAGATTAATCAGTCGTAAAGATGATCAGCTGTTGCACTCTCAATAGTATGTCTGTCTTTTTGAAAACATTTTATTTGACACCCTATTTGTCACACTTCACACTGCATCTGGACACTTTTACACAGGCATAACTTACTGCAGAACTTGTTTAAATCTATTAGAAACTGTGAAACTTATGGTTTCCCACAAATTGGGGGGGAAAAGCCTGCCGCCTCACACATTTAATCACGTGAAACAAAGCTTGCTTTCTTTTCTGCAGCCTATATTGTGTGCAATTACCACTTCAGGCCACAGGAGGAGGCCATCAGACTGAAATTACTTTAACCCCTAAAACAAACGTTTAGCTGCAGGTCAGAGGAGCCTTGGCACTTCATCCAAAGGTTAAATCGTCCAGAAAATGTTGTATGTTTATGTGTCAGTTCATTTTTGTACGTGCCTAACAATTTACAATCAGATGACAGTCAGTAAACAACACTATCACAAGGCCTGGAGGGAATAA